TTAGCTTTTTGCTATTGTTCTAATCATTAACAGCCTTTGTTTCATTTCAACCTTTACAACAATATTTATTTTTCCTTTTTTTTTTTTTGGTGGGGGTTAGGGAGGAAGGTTACTGACTGCTTTGAGAACCTGTTACAGAAAAAAGTACATATGCACACAGAGAAAGTTTTTACATATAATTTTAAGGAGGTCTGAGCCTCCTTAAAGTTTCTCAATTTAACTCCAGTTAAAAATTCTACTCTACACTTACTGTGTTTACAGCAAGGCAGGTCTTAGACGCCTAGACTTACAGAATATGAACACAATACAACAGAAGCTGTGAAACAGCAAATAGAAAGCTCCTGGTACTCATGGGCCAATATAAAATATATAGAGGGCTTTATGTACAAGTACAAAATTTGTAGCAAAACAAAAAAAGCATGCCAAGTTATTTAGGATAAAGATACCATCCTAATGTTTTCAGAAATTTAAAAACATGGAAGAGAAAAAATGAAAAATCCTTTTAACTGAAATGACAGTGACTATAAAGGAGTTGAGAAAAGACAGTTAAAGGAACTACTTACTTTACATAAAACATTTTGTCTACAGTGGCTTGTACTTATACTGTAGAGTGCAGAACGCTGATACAAATCCAAATTAAAAATCCTTTACAAATGCAAAATAAGCATAAATATGAATATGCACCAAATTACTATAACAAAATTCTTTTCTCTCCTTGAGTTTTAAACATCCTAATTTTGTTGTCACCTTATAAAACACTGTCCTTTGAAAGATACTGTCATTTTTTTTAGAGATTTAAAAAGATCCATATAAGAAGTTTAATCTCAAATTCCTCTGAATCCTTTTTTCAGAAGACTGGCCAGGACTTTGGCCCTTAACCTCGCACACGTAGTCAGAAGTCCGATAAAACTGTCAATCTGGCCTACCATCTGTGTCAAAGTTCATTCCTACACTTGAAATTTTTATATTATTATAATGTGTAATGCAAACACTTAAAAAACTAAAATATAAACAAAGAGTACCACCATAATTTGGTGTGATCTGATAACTGAAACATTTCAATATAAGTTCCCTGTAGAAATTTTTTAAAATGCAGGAAAATGTGATGGTGATGATGACAATTAATAATAATAACAGGAAGGATGCTTGTACCTTTTATCGTTTATTTTGCCTGAGCTAAGCATGTGACATATATATTATTTCACTTAAACTTAGTAACAATTCTATGAGATAGGTCTTTAAAAAGATAGGTCTATTTTCATCAGTCACACAGCTAATAGGTGGAAAAGTCAAAAATTATATCCCGATCTAACCCCAGAAGATAAGCTCTTAACCACTAATATGTCAGCCCGAGAAAGAAAACTAAAACCGTCTGTAATCCCCCCACCAGACATACCCTCCCTGCTGACACATCATTTGGCCAACCCCACTCTAATTTCCCAGTAGTCCCAAATCTGTCCCTCCTCAGGCAACCAATGTTTCAGCTTGGTGTATTCTCCTAGATGTTTTTTTTTGGTATGAACCTTTATGTATTATATAAGTACATAATTTGTTAAATGACAGAAATAATCCATGCTATGTGACAGGAGACTGGGGCATGGAAAAGTTACATGGTATGCTCCAGATCATAAGACCAGTCAAAGAAAATCAGAACTACAATAGATAGGCACTTTTAACTAAAAATGGTCCTAATCCTTTACATTTTTTTGATTATTTAAGATCTTGAAACTGAGGTAAAAAGATTAAGTGTCTTACCCAAAATCACATAGCTAATAAGTAATGCTGTAAACAGAAAAGTTATAGAGAGTAGAACGAATCTATTCTCTTATTTTGGGAATGACTTTATTGAAATCACTGACAGTGGGTTACCCCTTTTCATAAAATTGAATACAGCTCTATCTCATATTTAAAGACTGAGTTTTCTGCCTTTTTTTAAAGCGAGAAAGCAGGGTTTATTGAGAGGACAGAAAAGCTTCCACAGTGGGAGGGAACCTAAGGGGGTTGCCCAGTTTTTAAATCTAAGTGTAATAAGGGATGTTTAGTGTAAAGGAATTCACACAGTAATAGGGTTAGAGGACAATACATTGTTGGACTATATTGTGTCCACTTCCAGAGTGGACATATAGCCTGTATGTGAACCTCAACAAATAACTTATATTCTCTAGGTCTTAGCTTCCCCACTGTGAAACAATTAGCAAACACAATTCCCTGTACATCACCTTACTCTGGTAGTTCAGTGAACACCATCAATGAGTTCCATGGCTGTAGATGCAGAATCCAACATACTCTGCATTTTTTTCATATTTTCTACATATAACAAACAGAGGAATAGTGAAACCTTAATCAGGTGTTCTGGATTTCAATGCTGTGTACTGAGTCATTCAATTTGTTAGACTGAGCCACAGTGACCTGGTTAGGTTTGATCCACACTTTCTGTTAACACGTAGGGACAACACAGAGAAGTTAGGCATGCGTACAGAGATGCCAGGTGTGAAAAGGCAAACCAAGAAAAATACGTATGTCCATTTCTCAGACACAAAAGCTTTATTTTTCCAACCTAAAATATTGACACCAAAGGGTGTAAGTTTAGATAACACAGAAACAACACTGCCAGTTACTCCCAGGAGACCAACAGTAGCAGCAGGAACCCCACTGACTTCTGCACTGTTCACTGTACCCCTGCAGGCAGCCCAGGAAGCCCTGTAGCCCAGTTGGACCTCCAGGTGTGTCATCTCAAACAGCAGCACCAACACCATCTGGGGATCTGTTAGAAATGCACATTCTCCACCACCCCAGACCTCTGAGGCAGACATTCTGGTGGTGAGGCCAGGAATCTGCACTTGGACAAGACCCACGGGTAATTCTTAAGTAGGCTGGGAATTAAGAATCACAGCTCCAACCCTTAGTTTATGATTGCTGCTTCTGTGAGATATGATATTTTCCTAAATTTGCAGGTGATCATAAGCAGGTGGAAAAGAAGATATCAGAACACCACACTTAACAGCATCATTATGTATGAATGCAAAAATATGATCATTATTCTATTAGTGTATCCTATGTAAAAGAAACTAAAAAAGATATTTTAATTATACTAAAATTTGCAAGAAGAAAGCAAATGTGTTTGTTTAATGAGAATACTCATTAATTCGATTATCATTAATTTTTGGTAGTATGTAGAGATGACAGCTTCAACCCTCAGGTTACCACTCATCTCGGTAGACTTATTTTCTGAGAATCTAATAACTTTATTTTAAAAAAGCAAATCACTACGATGTTTCTATGCTTTAAACCTGCTTCAGGTAAGAAAAGGAAGGACTGCCCACATGGCAATTAGCATTATGGCATCCTATTTTCGTTTCTTCCTGGCTTTCTAAAAATCTTAATGGGGGTTTAATTTGGTTCAGTTCTCTTTTTTTTGAGTCAGAGTTTCTATCACCCAGGCTGGAGTGCAGTAGCATGCTCATTGCCACAGCAGCCTCGACATGATGGGCGCCCAGGTGATCCCTCCACCTCAGCCTTCCAAGTAGCGGAACTACAAGTGTTGCTTCACAACAATATCAACAGCTAGATTAGATGAGGATATCAGATGGGTAATCAGAAGTGAAAGACTGGGCTTCCCTGACAGTCATTTTGACTTGCAAGCTGGAATAAAAGGCCTCTGACAGGGTTTCTCTCCCAAAACTCAAGGAAGAAATGAGGAACTAGCGTGTTTGTTTATTTTACTTTATAACACTAAAATGTTCATGAACAAAAGCAAAGCACAATATTCCACTGTCCAAGAAGTGTGACATACCTCAAAACATGAAAAAGAATCTTCTAAACATGGGCCACAACACCATTTAAAGAGCTATTTTGTTCTTTCTGGAAACAGAAGAGCTGACTCCTAATACATCACTGCAACTGACTTGGAAGAACAGTCGCATACACCAGCAGCTGAAGCCCAGGGCTCCACACTGGGGAGAGAACTGAATCCCAAAGGTCTTCAAGATCCAAGTCATAAAACGAAGCATCTCATGTTCTCTCATCTCATTAGGTTTGGCCCAAGTATTCCCTTTGGTTTCACTCATTTTTTGTTTGAACATTTCTTGTCTGGCTTCAGAGGTGTATTATCCTGATATCTCAGATCAGAGCTACTGACATCCTCCCCGGAACTGACCCCAATGCTATCAAATATGAAGTGGTTGCATTCACTGTGGTTTAACATCAATGCTAATGAGCAGGAATAGACAAATGACCTAAAACCAAGTATTCCAAGGTCCTCTACTCGTGCTCTGATCTGTACGCTCAGCTAGAGCTGTGAACAATTTCTGCTAGAGCTCTACAGACTCACTGGAGAGAGAGTGTGAAGGATGTTGCCAGGCAACTCATCTAAGTTTGAAAGAATCTAAGCCTTGATAATGAGTCTGTCTCAGTTTGGCTCCCACACAAGAAAGGTTTTACTAAACTCCCACATGTGTTCACAGGCCATTCACAAGAAGTGGCATTTCTTAAATAAGTGAGAGTCCAAAAAGGGTCCATCTCAGAAACCTATAGTATTTCTTTTCAAATTCAAGTTTATTGTTTCCAATATCACAAGCATTTTCTACAACTACCCAGAAATCCAATACAAATTAGGCATAATAGGTCATATGGAAAAAGTCTAGAGTTGAATTCACATCCTAATTCCTATCTTCAACATTTCTGTTTGCACATGGCCACAGCAAAAATTCCTCAAGTATCTCAAATCACAAAAGCAACCCTGAAAACTACTCATCTACCAAAATTATTTTAATTCTTCTGAAAATTATCCTTGAGATTGCTTTTAATATTTACTCTCTTTATTGTATCAAAGTCCAAACAAGGCGTTAAGTAAAAACTACCTTCTATTCAAAAGTATATGCAGTCAGTTGCAAAAAAGGTAGCATGTTCCTCTGAGTATATACATGCAAAATCCTGCCCTGCTTATCGGGCCTGATCCAAGCCTCCCTCTTTCAAAGCAGACGCTTTGCATGCAGGCTTACCGGGGCAGTATGCATCCACGTCCAGTTTCTGAGCTGAAGCGAGGGTTGGTGAGCCAAGCTCGGATTCTGGAATTCGTGGGCTCTCAACATACTTTGCCTTCCTCAGAGGGGCTAAGGACAGAGAGAGAGAGAAAGAGAGAGAGAGAGAGAGAAATGGGGGGAGGGGAGGATGAGAGAGGGAGGGAAACAGAGAGAGAGAGAGAGAGAGAGAGAGAGAGAGAAAGGAGAGAGGTATGGGGAGAGAGAGGGAGGGAAACACAGAGAGAGAGAGAGAGAGACAAAGGGAGGGAAAGACCGAGGGGGGGGAGGAAGAGAGAGACACAGAGGGAGAGAGTGGGGGGGGAGGAGAGAGAGAGAGGGAGACAGAAAGAGAAACAGAGAGAGGGAATGGGGAGGGAGAGAGAGAAAAAAAGGATAGAAACAGGGAAAGAGAAGGGAAAAGGGAAAGAGAGAAACACAGAGGGGTCATGAGTAAGGGGTGCAGCAGGCAGCAGATGGAAGCACTTAAGTGAACGACACACTCTGTCAGACTCAGATCAGGTTACCCTAGTTTTTGTGCCAGAAAAAAAACTCATTGCATTCTTCATAGAGGAGATAGGTCTTGTTAAAAGTTACTGAAAACTGAAAAAGTTAAAATCTAATATTCAAAACTATGAGCCTAAATTGTGTCTGTTATCTTTAGCTATTTACTCTCTTTAAAAAGCAAAGAGCTTTCTTATCCTGGCTTTCATTGTCATTAAATACAGGTATTAACTAAGAAAAGTGCAGGACTAAGTTTCAAGGTTTTGTTGATAAAAATTGTAAACAAAAGGTTCTCTTTATCCAGAAAGAACTATTCTAATATATTCAGTCATGATAAATACCATAAGTAGGATTAAATATAAGCCATCGGGCCTAATCTAGGAAGCTTAACAAGGAAATCAATCATCTTACCCCTCGGCCAATCATGTAAGAAGTCAAAACTGCTAGCAAACTAAAATATTAACTAAGTCTTTCCAGTTTGACACTGGATGCTAAAGAGATAAATTAGTTAATTATGAGATCTATGGAACAGTAATATTTTACACCATGGTATCCATTCATTCTTTTTTTTTTTGAGTTGGAGGTTATCCATTCATTCTTGTAAGGAATAAAGTATAATTCATGTATTAAAATTTTATGTACTTAAAACATAAATTTTACTGACTGATTTTTAGAGAGAAAAACCTGGGAACACTATTGATAATACACATTCAAATGATCATTTAAATATTGCCAAGCATGCTGGCTCACACCTGTAATCCCAGCGCTTTGAGAGCCCAAGATGGGAGGATTGCTTGAAGCCAGGAGCTCGAAACCAGTTTGGGCAACATAGCGAGACCCCACATCTACAGAAAATAATTTTTTTAAAAAGTAGTCAGGCATGGTGACACACACCCTGAATCAATCCTAGCTACTTGAGAGGTTGAGGAAGGAGGATCACCTGAGCCAGGAGGCTGAGGCTGTAGTGAGCTGTAATTACACTACTGCACTCCAGCTTGGGCAAAAGAGTGAGAACATGTCTCCAAAAAAAGAACAAAAAGAAAATGATGAAGATTTGCTTTGGTGCTTTCAAACTGAGTTCTATTAAATAAGTTATAATAGGGTAAAAGTGCTTAGCATAGCACTGGTACAAAAGTATCAGCAGAATCGGCAAATGATTGGTATGTATTATATGTTAGTGTCATAACTATAGGTGGCCAAGACTTACTAATGTTTAAAATCACACTACTTTTTGCAAAAGTTTATATATATTCTTCAAAATCCTTATCCATTACTGAACCACAGGAGATTCTAAGTTATTCCTAAAAGATCTGTTAAAAAGTAATATAAAACTTAGTCATTACAATGGCCAGAATTCTTCATTTTATTGTGAGGATTAAAATGATTATGTATTAAAATAATAAAAGAAAATATCTTTGAATTGTGCCAACTCTCAAAAGCTAAAGACAACAAAGTCACACTTTAATCTTGGGTATGTATGTACACTTCAAAAAAATTTTTTTAAAATTTATTTTATTTTAAAGATGTGGGGTACAATTCAGGATTAGGTATACAAGGTGCCACCGTATGGTGAAGTTTGGGCCTCCCTTTGGTCCCCACTTTGCCTGGTTCGAGATCAGGTGCCCTTATTGATGTTGTGTCCCCCCTCCACCCCGGCAATATCCCACTATTGCCAATCCCTTTCTTATAGTATTATGGTAAATGTTCAGGGTCCGCTTATGAGTGAGAACATGTGGTACTCTGTTCTATGTATGTATACTTTAAGTGCTTTTTTTTTTTTTTGAGTTGGAGTCTCACTCTGTCACACAGACTGGAGTACAGTGGCACACTCATGGCCATCCCGGCATCGACCTGCTGGGCTCCAGTGTTCCTTTAGCCTCAGCCTTCTATGTAGTCGGAACTACAGGCATGTGCTACCGTGCCCGGCTAATTTTTTTATTTATTGTAGAGATGAAGTCTTGCCTAGTTGCCCGGGCTGGTCTCGAACCTGCGGGCTCAGGCAATCCACTTGCCTCAGCCTCCCAAAGTGCTGGGATTACAGGTTAAGCCACTGAGCCTGGCTTAAGTGTATGTTTAAAAAATAATAATAATAAATCCTGTTATTGTCTCTATGGCAACAAAGACCTAACACTAAGAGTCCTAACAGTATGGTGTTCTGTTAAAAGTAAGCTCTGGAATAGCGAGACTCTCACCTGTTCTAAGAGTCTAAGACTTGAGCCTGATTTTTAAAATCACTATCACAAATAAAGATCTCAAGTGATTTATATGTATATATGCAGGTTACTAATAGCCAATATTAGAATTTCTTTCATTATAATTTCACCAACACATTAAAAAATTGTAAATTTTTAAAACTGTAAATTATTCAGTACTGCTTAGTATAGGAGAAAGGGTTATATGGTAATTTAATCCTTAAAGCTCCTAAGTCCCTTATCCAAATGTTATTAAAGCATTGCCAAGGCTTCAGAATCACTATTTTACCTGTTGAGTTCTGACAAAGACAGTACTAGTCCTGCTCAAAGGGACTCTATATATCTACACATCTTAATAACCTTTTTATAAGGAACTTTAGGGCTAGTAGACAGGGCAGCAACGTAGGGTATAGACAGCCATAAGCAAGAAACTGAAGAGTGGCAGAAGAACTTGAGGGAGACAGGAGGAATGTACAAGAGTGAGGAGATGGCGTCCAGGGCAAAGATGGGATGCTAGTGGCTGCATGGAAAGGAAGGAAACAGAGACTATGGAGAGAGCATGGACTCCGCAATGCTCATCAGAAGTGGACGAGATTCTGGCAGGAAACAAAGGAAGCCTCTTCCTAAAAGACATAATTTTCCAGAGAGAGTTATTTTGGATCTGTGAGGCTTAGCACTGACTTCATTTTCTCTGCTCAGGAAATTTCAACTGAGGTTATCTGTATGCTTACAGTGGATATTTAACTCTTTCTGCTATCAACCTTCACCTCTACTCTCATCTATGGGATACTGTGCGTGTCCAGTAATAAAACTAAATTAATTTATAAGGTAGATGACAATGGTGTTCTCATCTAAGTTACAGAAAGTTAATGTTATTTGTAAGTCAATCACACACAGGAGACACAGTCACAGACATGACAGGGTGTTCAATAGTCATAATAGTGGTTGGTGGAGAACAGAAAAGGAGAAGTTGGAAGATAGAGCACAATATTTTGCTTGGAAGCCTAGAATTTTAAGACGCTCCATTGTGCAAAAATGGTATATAAGATGATTCAGATGGGTAAGATTAAAAGGCTTTACCTGATAGTTTAATTAAAAAGGGGGTGGTTGAAATGAGATGGGCAGGAGGAATCTAAAACCCAAACCAGGTATTTCATTGTGATGTAGAGATAATCAGAAACTACTGCTCTCAGTAGTGATCAGAACCAACACTGAGAACATGAACATGATTCGTATGCTCTAAGCAATTTGAGCTGGGAATCCGGCAGAGATCGAAAGGAAGGATGCATATTGGCTTAGAAGATGGGTATAGTGATTTGAAAGATCTAGGTCTTGGCTCTAGCACTTAGTAGCAGTAAGAATTTGGGCACGTTAGTTAGCCTCGCTAAGCCTCCATTTTCTCACAAAGCTACAGTATTGTTATGAGGCTTAACTAAGTCCAAGCGTGTTAGCACAGTGCTTGGATATGGTGACATAGCTCATCTAAGCTTATTAAGACATGGAGCAGTGAGGGCTATGGAAAACGAAACAAGTAAGTGGCTTCAAACATCATATGTAGAGGCAGGATAACAAGGCAGCATAGCAGGGAGGAGTTGGATAGTGCAGGAATTAGGGATCCGGGCTCTGAAACCAAAAAGCTCAGGTGAGTTCCATCTTTCCCCCTTTTTCCTAGCCATAAGAACCTTTTCTGTGCCTAAGTTCCCTCTCATCATTTATTTTGAGCTAATAACAGTACATATGTCACGGACGATTTGTGAAAACCACGTTAATTCCAATAAGATCCTCAGAATGGTGCCCAGCACAGAATCCCTGCACCACCGATGCAAGCTGTTGGTGTCATCACTGTCATCACAGACTCAGCATGTTCTAGCAGTCTGAACTGTGTGTGTGAGCATGCGTGAGTCCGTGCGTGCACACACTGGGGTGCAAGGGCAGCAAAACAAGGATGTCCACGATGTCATGAGGGGCTGAGAACTGTGATACCACCAAAATATTCTTTTAATTGAGAAAGGAACAATGTTGAAGAAAATATAATGTGTTATGATTTAGGAGACTACCCAGATCAAAATGTGAGTACAGAATGAACGAGAGCCAGCAGGTGAGACCACTGGCTCTCAAAACGTGGTGCCTGGACCCACAGCACAGCACTACCTGGGAATCCGTTAGAAACGCAAATGCTTAGGCCCCAGCAACGTAGGTTCAGCCACTCCTGTGGATGATTCTGACGCAAACTGGTGTTTGTGAACACCGGATTAGACAATTTCCACATCCATGTACACAGGTGTCACTGAAAGGATGGTCTCAGAAAACACTGTAGTAAGATAGATCTGAGGCCTCTTCTCTGATAGTATTAGCATGCGTGGTAAAAATTAGGACTCCTTTTCAGTCGTTCTGTTA